TGGTAGAGCAAGTAGTAGAGTCAGTTACTTCAACTTCGGAAGTGGGAGTGGTAGAGCAAGTAGTAGAGTCAGTTACTACAACTTCGGAAGTGGTAGAGCAAGTAGTAGAGTCAGTTACTTCAACTTCGGAAGTGGGAGTGGTAGAGCAAGTAGTAGAGTCAGTTACTTCGACTTCGGAAGTGGGAGTGGTAGAGCAAGTGGTAGTTGGTTCGGTTTCTGTGACATCTACCTCAACTGAAGTGGTAGAGCAAGAAGTTTTGGGTTTGGTCGTTTTGCAAGAAGATGTGCGTTTAGTCGTTTTGCAAGAAGTTTTGGGTTTGGTCGTTTTGCAAGAAGATGTGCGTCTAGTGGTAGAGCAAGTGGTAGTTGGTTCGGTTTCTGTGATATCTACTTCAACTGAAGTGGTTGAGCAAGAAGTTTTGGGTTTGGTCGTTTTGCAAGAAGATGTGCGTCTAGTCGTTTTGCAAGAAGTTTTGGGTTTGGTCGTTTTGCAAGAAGTTTTGGGTTTAGTCGTTTTGCAAGAAGATGTGCGTCTAGTGGTAGAGCACGTGGTAGTTGGTTCGGTTTCCGTGACATCTACTTCAACTGAAGTTGTAGAGCAAGAAGTTTTGGGTTTGGTCGTTTTGCAAGATGTGCGTCTAGTCGTTTTGCAAGTGGTTGTGTGATGATGATGTTGTCTACACTTCGTGCAAATGGTTGTGTGCTTAGTCTTGCAAGTGGTTGTGCGCTTTGTACTCTTCGTGCAAGTGGTTTTGTGCTTTATATTTGGATGTTTAGTCGTGCAACTGGTTGTGGGCTTTACATTTGGTAATTTAGTCTTTGTGCAAGTGGTTGTGTGCTTGACACTTGAGTGATGATGATGATGATGATGATGATGATGATGTGGATGACGACAAGTCTTTTTATATACCACCGGGGTGCAGGTAACAGTAGCAACAGTGCGAGTTGTTGTCCAGGAGCATCTTGGGACATGTCTTTTCTCGGGATGACCACAAATAAGCCCAGTTGGCCGATGATGTCTTTTACCGCATACTGTTTTAGTGTGAGAAAGTGTAGAAGTGGCCGTGGCAATGCACCAATGACCATATACTTCTGTTGTAATGAAGAAAGATAAAAGAATCGAGAGACAAACGAAAATACGAAAACCCATCTTTGTTTTATGTGGGTTTGTAAGGAAGGATCAGTTTATAATGGTGGGATCCACTTAAAATTATTGACTGTAAGTTTTGTTGGAATTCTGAAAGCTGGAGAGTATTTATAATTAATTTGATCATACTCTTTAATTCCGAAATAATCTTTAAAGCTGAAACATTAATTAACTTTTTTTACTATAATTAGTTGGTGTTTATTTTGTTTATTGTTTATACGTTATTGACTTTTAAAAAAATTCAATGCTGTATTCAATAAATTATGCTATGCCAAGCGCTATATAACGTATTTAATAATTTCCTCGATGAATAATTCGTTACCTTAATAATAAAGGAAATTATTATTTACATTAACTTAATTGTATTATATTATTATTTGTTTCCCATTGATTTTTTATTTTTTTCTTTAATCTTTATTTGACTAATTGGGAAGATACCCAATTGGGAGAATGTTCGGTTTCGTTATTATTCTAACGTTACCAATCATTTAATTAATAAATGAAAGAATTCAATAATTTATGCTATGCATTCATGCATTAAATTAATTCAATTATTTGTACTTTTTTATTTGTTGTTAATAATAGTTGAGATATGAAATTAGAATTCCTTTCTATTCTTTTTTTCCATTTTTTTTCGTGTAACTGTCTCAAAATAGGTAGCACCAATTTAATTTTGATTTGTATGCTTATTTTATTTATATATTTATGATTATTGTGTTACCCTATACTCTAAATTTGTTTGCTAAATTTTATTAGGACATATTCTTGTTGGTTGTTCACGTTTTTAGTGAATACCCGCACGGTAGCACAGCAACACAGCGGATGTTTAATGAAATGACTTTCTTTTTAATAATTGTTTTTTCCATATCTATGTGATATATGGCTTCGTTATTTTCTAATAAACCCGTCACAACTTTTTTTTGGGGGGGTAAAATTATTTCCTGATTATTTTTCGTTATCTCAAATGAAAGAAAGAATTTTCTATTATTGTTTGTAATAATTTTTTTTCATTTATTATAATATCAATAAATAAATAATTAATTAATTAATAAACAATTTAAGTCTATTAATATAATAAGTAAAAAACACACGCGACACGTACCTAATCTAGTTATTTTTAATTAAGATTAATTAAAAAGAATTCTATAAATAAATGATTATGCAAGATAAGAAATCGAACGAAGAAGATACTAAAGAGGTGGATGCAATAAATTATTGAAATAATATAGTTAGAGTTGGTCAATGAAGGGCAAACCAAAAATTGATCATTGAGCAGATAAGCAATTTGGAAAAAAAAAATAACTTTAAACTAGCAACTAGAAAATTATAATTGAATTGATTAAAAATAAATAATCGACTCTTTACTACAATATAATACAATATAATTATCTATTTAATCAATCAATGAATTTATTAAAATTTAATGACCAACATACATAAATAATTAAATAATTATATCAACGTGTTTGATGTATCTATAGATTACTAATTTTATTTTTTTTTACATTTTTACCATTTTACCATTTTATTATCTGGAAAGATTTTTGCTCTTCTCTTATTATTATTTTTTATTGGCTCATCTTCAATACTAAAATCACATGCAATATTTGTTATTATACTTCTCATTTAAATTTTTGTCTCGATTATGTTTCTTTCAAAATTCTCTTCTTTCTGTAGCATCTAATTCGTTATGACTTTAATAAGAAGAATATCATTAACTAGAAGCAGCCATGTCCTTCACTAAACATTGGATGTGCAGATTAAGGAAACAGGAGTTAAGATGTCACCAAATTAGGCAATGTCTGTCTTTACAATCAATAAAAAATTAAAAGGTAACTGGGTAAATTGACTCAATGAATTCAAAAAAAAATTTTGGCGCAAAAAAATACAGCGTGCATAGAATCACGAATTCGTGCTGTCAGAATTCTATTTCTAAATATAACGCGATCTGGAGGTACGATAAAAAAAGTAAAGTATCTTCCCACTACGCTTCGCGGGACAAAGTGTATCAGATAGATAATATTTTTTGCTCGTGTATTATCTAATTTAGTGATAGTATCTAACTCTTCTCCACTCCCTTCATTGTTTATCAATGGACATTTTTAGAAATATTGAGCTATCGGGTTTCGAATATATTTTAATTAAAACAATATAAACAATATATTTTTAAAAAACAATTTATTTAAAACAAAATAAATATAAATAATACTTTCACAAATGGTAAATTATTATTATTTATTCTTTTTATATCTATTTTTTTTTTTTATCCTTATTTTCCTTTTTATATTTCTATCGTATTTTTATTCCTTTTCTGATCTTTTAAGTATTTATTTAGTTTTTAATGGAATTATATCTTGTTATAAACTTTAATCATATCATATGATATTGTGAAACCTAATAAAAAAAAATTTTTTATCTCAAATGATAAACAATACTCAGATCAGAAGATGATTAACTTAATATTTAGGCATAAAAAAAATGTTAAATTTTATCGTTTTATTATCTCTCTTCGAAGAAGATTGACTTCTAATACAATAATTGAAAAAAATAATGATTATATCATCAATGATACTAATAAAGTTCCTTTAAAACCTACAAGAAAGTTAGATAAAAGTTATAATCCTGTATCGTATATATTTTATTTATTATTATTATTACTTTGGTCAATGATTTTCTATTTATTATTATTATTCTTTTTTTTTTGAATTTTTTCTCTTTTAGATTTTAGTGGAACTAGGATGGTATGATTGGTGGGAATACAAAGGTTTACATATTCATCATTGCTATTTATATTATTATTAATATTATTATTAATATTATTATTATTATTATTATTATAAGATGAAATTTAATTAACATAAGATGAATTTTAACTTTAATCTATTGTTATTATAACTATAAAGGTTATTTTGGAAGAAGGACACATTCTGAAACAAGGAACACAAAGGAAACAAAGAGTACAAAAGAAATAGAGAACACAGAAGATACAATGAAAACAAACACGAACACAGAGAAAACAAAGAAATTTCTAATGATATCACCACCTCCTAATGTCACTGGAAATTTACATATTGGGCACGCATTAACTTTTAATGTCCAAGTAAGCTGTCTAACAAATTAGATAGCTGGATTTTGTGATCTTGTGAATTACCCCAAACTAAGCCTAATACAGACTAATAAATTTTTATTCTGGTGATTTAAATTTTTGACGATAATAATAATAATAATTATTATTGTTGTTATAAAAATAATTATAATAAAAAATTTAGGATTGTTTAGTAAGATGGTATCGAATGCAAGGGTTTGATGTTTCATGGATACCTGGAACTGATCATGCAGGTATAGGAACACAATCTGTAGTGGAAAGATATCTTTACAATAAAAAATTTGTAAGTTATACGAATTATTCGAAAGTTCCGAATTCGAAAAAAAAAAAGTTCTTTTTTTAAAAAATTCATTCATTTCTTTAATTAGCTTACTCGTCATGATCTTGGAAGAGAAAATTTCACAAAGAAAGTTTGGGAATGGCGTGAACTGTACGGAAATAGAATAATTCAACAATTAGTAATTATTATAATTTATTTGTTGAATAAATATTATTACTATCATTACTATAATTATATTCAATTCAATTTAATTGTTTGTAAATAAGAGACGTTTAGGAGCTTCATTAGATTGGGATAATTTATTCTTTACAATGGATCCAATAAGATCAAAAGCTGTTAATAATGCTTTTATTCGAATGTTTAATGATGGAATGATTTACAGAGACACAAGACTTGTAAATTGGTGTTGTGCTTTAGGAACTGTTATTTCTGATATCGAAGTAAGTGATTTTTTTTTAATCTTTCATTCTCTCTTATTTCATACATACTCATTTTTCTCTCTCTCTTTCTTTTTTTGTAAAGGTAGAATATGAGACTATAACGAAACGAACTTTTCTAAAGATTCCTAGTCGAGATGAAAAGTAATAATTGATTACATTTATTATCAATATTTATAATTATTTATAATTATTTTCATTTAGTTATTAATTAATTAATTAATTATTATTTAACATTTAGAATTGAATTTGGAGTTTTGCATAAAATTGCTTATCCAGTTGTTGAACCAAACACTTGTGAAATTAAAGAATTAATTGTGGCAACGACTAGAATTGAAACAATGTTGGGAGATGTTGCTTTAGCGATACATCCTGATGATTTAAGATATAAAGTATTTATTATTATATTTTATTATATTATTTCATTAATAACTATCTTATATTATATTTTATTGTATTTTTAGTCACTTCACGGTAAAGAAGTAATTCATCCTTTACTAAACAAAAAAATGCCAATTATATGTGATGCTGAACTTGTTGATATGGAATTTGGAACAGGTGTTGTTAAGGTATTTATTCCAATATTAAGATATTATATATATATATATATATATATCGAGTGTATTCACACGCGGGGATTTGGATTGGATTGGGTCAATCCAGATTGGTATCATGTTCGCAAAAATTTGTGAATGTTATGAAATAGATCACAAGACGTGAATTTGTCCATAATCTACCTCACATTTTGATGCGAACAATTCATTATTTTATTATATCTAATTATTTTATATTTTATTTATAGGTTACACCGGGACATGATAATAATGATTTTGCATGTGCCAAAAGACATAAATTACCAATAATTAATATCCTAAATAAAAATGGAACTTTGAATGAAAATTGTGAAATTTCTGAATTAATTGTAAGCATTTTTTCTTATTCAAAAATATTATATAATTCTTATGTTTTATTTTTATTTTATTTTATTTTTATTAATCTTTTTTTAAAGAATAAAGATCGATTTGACGCCAGAAAAGAAATTATAAATAAACTTCAATCTTTAGGTTATTATCATGAAAAAGTTAATAATCATGAAATGAAAATTGCTAAATGTTCAAGATCTGGAGATATTATTGAACCTTTATTACAACCACAATGGTAATAATTTTAGTTAATTTTTAAATTATTTAATTATAAATTTTTTTTTATTTATTTCATTTTTATATCTTGTTAGGTATATAAAATGTAAAGAAATTCAGCAAAAAGCTCTTCGGGATGTTCAAAATGGAGAAATAATAATCAAACCAAGTTATTATGTTGATGAGTGGAATAGATTAGGTTATTATTTATTTCTTTATTATTTATTGATTGATTTATTTATTTATCTATTTGCTTTATTATTATTTATTTATTTTATTTATTTATAATAATCTACTTTTAGGAAATAATCAGGATTGGTGTATATCAAGACAATTATGGTGGGGACATCAAATTCCAGTATATAAATTAATTTATAAAGATCAAGAATCTGGTGATTCCGGTAATTTATTAATTTATATTATCATATTATTCATATTAAATTCTTATTCACTCTCTTTTTTTTTTTTTTTATGAAATTTTATTATTATTTAATAGATAAAGAATTATGGTTTGCAGCTTCTTCAATAAAAGATGCTGAGAAACTTGTGAAAAATTATTTTGATAAGAATAATATAATTCCCAAATCTGAATACACTTTGAAACAAGTATAATAATTATTATGTATTTCATGTTTATATATTTTATATTTGCTTATTTATTATTTAATATTAGGATGAAGATGTATTAGATACATGGTTTTCATCTGCATTATTACCATTATCAGCTTTAAATTGGAATGGTGATCAAAATATTCCTGTAAGATTTATATCATTTATATCATTTACATTCTCTATAATTACCCTCTTATGTATTATTTAATTTATATTCCCTTATATATTATTTATACTATTTATATTAGAAAAATTATCCAACTACAATGATAGAGACAGGATATGATATTTTATTTTTCTGGGTGGCAAGAATGGTTATGTTATGTACATATTTTTCAGGAAAACCACCTTTCAACAAAATATTTTTACATGCTATGGTAAATTCATAATATTAATATGTTATTAATTGTTACTATTATTAAATTATTATTAAATTAAACATTATTCAAGATTAGGGATTCACAAGGAAGAAAAATGTCAAAATCATTAGGAAATGTTATTGATCCCTTACACGTGATAGAAGGTGTAACATTAAAAGAATTACAACAAAATGTATATAAAAGTAATTTATCAAAATCTGAAATTGAAAAAAGTATTAAAAATTTATCAAAAGAATTTCCTCAAGGAATTACATCTTGTGGTTCTGATGCTTTAAGATTTGGATTAATTGAGTATACTCATCAGGTATAAAGATATTATTTATTATTATAATTTATTTATTTGTTTATCTATTTATTTATTCATTTATTTATGTATGTATGTGTATATATATATTTATTTATTTAAAAGACACAAATAAATCTCAGCATATCTAATATTACAATAATTAAACATTTTTGTAATAAGTTATGGAATCTTTTTAAATTTTCTAATGATAAATTTGATGCATTAAATCATATTCCACAAATTACTTGTGATTTTATTTCTCCCACCAAATTACTTTCTACTTCTGATATTCTAGATAATTTATCATTAGTTGATAAATATATTTTATCAAAGTTATCAGATACTGTGATGAAATGTCAAAAAGCATTTGAAGATTTAGAATTATATAAAGCAACTGAAGCTCTTAGAATTTTTATTATTGAAGAATTATGTGGAGTTTATTTGGAATTTATTAAACCTATTTTACATAAGGATTTGGAAAATAATAATGATATCGAAAAGAAGGTATAAAAATTTTTTTTATGAATTTGATACATTATTGTGGCATTATCATTAATAATTATCCATTGAGTCTATATTATCATAAAATTTATATTATAATAATATATATATATATATATTTATAGACCCAAAAGACCACTTTAAAGGTTCTTGAAATTTGTTTAGATTCTTCATTGAGACTTTTGCATCCTTTTATGCCATTCATCACAGAGGTAATTTTACCACTTCTATCGTTTTCTTGTATTTTCTTAAAATTTCAACACATAAAATAAATTAATTGATATCTAATTTAATATATAAAATAGGAATTATGGCAAACTCTTACCAAAAGATCCAATAATGATAAAAATTCAAAAATCCCTGAATCCATTATGATTGTTGGATATCCTAGAAAAGATGAATTTGAGTGTTTCAAAGATACTAAAGTTGAAGATGATATGAAGGTATAATAATGATATTTTAATATTTTAATAATTACTTTAAGAATTATGTTATATTTTAATATAAATTATTTTATAAATTATTTTAATTTAGGCTGTCTTAAATATAATTCATGCATCAAGATCTATTAGACAACAAAATAATGTAACTCCAGGAAAATTTTTACCGTTTTTCATATGGACAGATATTCCAGAATTAATAAACAATAAAAGTCAAATAATTAAATATTTTCCAAATATAAAAGAATTTATCAAAGCATCAGATATTCAAGTTATTTCTTCGGTTGAATCTGAGGTATTATTACATTTCAATATTTCAGTAATAATAATTTTTTGTATTTTATTAAATTTTCTTAATTTGTAATTTGTAATTAATTATTTATTTAGAAAAACATCCAAATGACACAATTATTAAACAATAGCGCAGTTAATTTAATAGCTCCAAATTTAAAAGTTTACGTTCCAATGACAGCTATTTTAGAAGTTCAATCTACCTCGATTGATGTCACAGATACTGAACTAAATAGATTAACAAAAAAGTATGAAAAGATTACAAAAGAATTAGAAACATTGAAAGAAAGGATTGAAAATGCTTCATATTTGAAGAAAGTACCCGACAGGATTAAAGAAATCGATAGGTAATAAAACGTCATTATTATTGTTGTTATTTTGTTATTTAAATGTTCAAATGTGTTCTAAATTATCAAAAATTGCTTTGGTAGAAAACGATTAGAAAATTTAGAAGAATTAAAAAAAGATTTAGAAAAAAATGTCAAATTGGTACAAAATTTAAAAGAATAATTTACCTTCCTTTATTATTTATAATCCTTGTAATCTTGTAATTGAATAGATTTCTTTTAATTTATTGCTTAATTTAATTAATTATTCAATAAGATCAATCTTTTAAAGAAAACTTTTTACATTGGTAAAGAATTTAAAAAAACAATTTTCTAATCAAGAATATTATTAGAAGAATTATTTATTGAACTAATTTCAATCTTCTAATTAATTAATTTTGAATAAACACATTTAATACTATGTTCAAATTTTTTCCTTTAATTGAGAAATCACGTGCCATTCGGGTTCTAATAATATATTACTAAATACATTTGAGATATGGATCAATATTATATGGGAATTCTGGATCGTTAAAATAAATGTTAATATTATTGACCAATCTTTTGTTGCATTTTGCAATAATTCTTGCCAAGGTGAATATAAATTTGTGACCCTATTTTTAGCATAATTATTAATCGTTTCGGCCGTGATAAGTTGTATCTGAAGTTGATCAAATGTCGGTGATGATGAGTATTACTCCAAGTATAAATAGGATCGATAAAATTCAAGAATATAATGAAATGTTTGGCCATTCCGATCAAAGAAAAATTCATTTCTTTTTGTACAAGTTTATTACGATCTGAAAATATTGTTTCTGACATCGTGTCTGCTTTCAATATAGAACGATATATTATTAAAGAGAATAGAATTAAATAATTTATTTAATTTATAAAAATTTATAAAAATTTTATAAAAATTTAAAAAATATTGCTACCTTAAATACCACCAACATTGGAGTCGATATTTCGATATCAAAACGTGAAGATATTTTGATATATTATCTTTATTAACTTTAGTACTATCATTATCAGATTTGTCAGATTTGTCATCAATGGCGGCTGAATTCATTTTCAATCCAAAAGTAATAAACACATTAAACCTTATGAATAAGTCGCAAAGACTTATTAAAAATTTGATCAAAACTAAACAAAAGAAATTATTTAATTAAATATATTTGTAATAAAGTTTTAAACACAGTTTGGATTTTAAAGCAACCTTTTAACTTGAATTGAAAAAGAAAGCATTTCTTTCTGATTGTTAAGTTCAATACATACTTTATACTATATGATGCCCTTTCATGAAACACTTTTAAATAACTTAAATCTGATTAAATTTGAACTTGGCAAAATTTTCTGGGATAAAAATTTTAAAATCTTTATATGTTCTAGAGAGATATAATACAATTAAAGAAAAGATCCATGTTTCCCATGATAAAATTTAGAAGATAATTCCTTTGCATTATCCAAAATTTCTTGTCGTTTACGGGAATCCATGCGACGTGGACCCAAAACATCTTTCTCACGATCGAATGGACGATTTCTAACATCATCATCTTTCCATTTTTTGGATTTTAAATATTTCTCGGAGTGTTCCTCTAAAAGCGATTTGGGACGATGAATTTCCTGAAAATATGATATTTATCAAATATTAATATTACTATAACAAATAATATTTGATAATATTTATATTAATTGAAACTTACATTAAATTCTTTAATTTTTTTAGAATTCTCCAAATCTGATTCAGAATATTCGATAGGTTCTTCTTCCTCACGTTTACGTTTTTGGACAGAAGACTGTTAACCGTGTAATATTCAAAATATAAAAGAATTTCGATTAACATTTAATTATTAATATTAAATATATAAAATTTATCTTATTACTTTTGATTTCAATAATCTTTCTTGTCTTTCAGCTGGCGTTTCCGTCCACAATGAATTATCATTCAATTTTGGATCATGCGTTTTTTGGTTAAATTGACGTGATTTCATATTTCCTGGCGATTCTAAAAAATTTATATAAATGATTTTTTAATAATTATATAAATTAAATTTTTTAGCGAAATTAAAAATCTGACTTACCTAAATATCTGACTTGTGGTGGCGGAACTAACATCCATTCCCCACGTCCTGACCGTTTTTCACTTTTTTCATCCTATTAAAAAATTTCTTAATGTCTTAATAATGTCTCTATAATCAAAATATTTATTATTAAAATTATTATTTTTTTGAAAAAAAACTTACTTCAAGGCTTGACCGCATTCTCTCTGATCTTTCTTCAAATTCTTGAATTGTCCTTTCTAAAGCATATTTATCGTCATTTTCATCAAGGTCTTTTGGAAATACTGGTCCTATAATTTCTTCCTCTTCCGAATTTTGATATTCATCATTAATATTAAGTGGCATCGTAGGTCCTATTTGTCGTTTATAAGTCGTTTCTTTTATTCCTGACGTCTTCTTTCCTTGTTCTTCTTTTTTCCTTTGTCGTTCTGCAAGTATGTCAGGTGGTAAAGCTGGCAGGTAAGCATCTATATCTTCAATATTTTCTTCTTGTTCTTCAAAATTTGAAGATACCTTAGGAGTCATGGATCCTATATTACTATTACTATTAGATCTTTGGGTTTCTCGTTCTAATCTCGTTTTGTCCATGTTGTCTGTATCAAATTGGGGACCAATATCTGGTGAGGATGCATTTTCTTCGTTATTACTTTCTTTTTGAAATTTTGGTACTAGGTTTTCAGGAATTTGTGGGCCAATTTCTTCAGACATTGATTTGTGAGATGCTGTGGATCACATTTATCTATTTATCTGAAATTTTATTTTAATTTATTTTGACTTATTTAGGAAATTCTATGTAACTTTACTTAATTTCATGAGAACCTATAAAATTTCCTGAAAATTTTTATTACGCAACTACTTGTGTAAAATTCAGCTAGAGAATATCACTCGTTGAGCAACAATTTCTTCCCTTACCAAATCCATATTTATGTGATGAGCCTTAATTATTTTTAGGGTATTTCTAAAGCTCACCAGTGGTGATTGTCACCACCAGGCAAAATTACATAATTTCCTGATAAACCCCAACTTTGCCCACGTAAATTTTAATTCTGCTCAGTGGTGACAATTACCACTAACAATTTTCTTATTTTTATAACATAATTTGATTTTTAGTATTAAATAAAAATTATGACTAGTAATTGTATTAATTTATATGTGAAAATAACTATTGTATTGCTTGATTTACAAATATACTGAAAGAGAAATGATTCTTTAATTACATGTCCATTTTTTTTTATTCTTCATTAAGGTATTAGTTCATTAAAATATCTTATTTAAATCTAAAAAATTTAATTTATATTTATTTCTAGAAATAAAATAATAAAAATTTGTATTAAAAAAACATTTAAATCCTTTATGAAAATAAAAATAAAAAATTAAACCCAAACAACTTGAATAGTAAATGTGCGAACGCGATCCAATGTCCAACAGATATCCAATCAAATATTAGTCTCCTGATCACTATCATGTGACCTAACATCAAGTGAATATTATTATTGGAAATTGTTTTGCTTTTTAAAATAGAAATTGGTTATATCCAATTTTTGTGGAACAAGTTTTTTCCTTGGATTTATCACGAGAACAGTTTTAGAAGTTATTACATTTGTTATCAAAAATACAAAGTCAACATTAACGATGTAACTTATTCAAGCTATATACAATTTATAATTTGATATCTTTTTAAAGAAAGAAACCAGAAAAAAATTTTTTTTCCGATTAATTTATGGATTTCACTTAATATAGAATCTATTTTTATATCAATTTTATTGAATTATTGTTTTTTTTTTTAATTTCTTCATGTCAATAATTTCTTGTCAGAAGATGTTTATTTAAATTATTATTTATCGTATTAATCACGTATTTAACCATAATGTGGTAAAAATTATTTTGTAACCATTCAGGCATTCCATAAATCAAATGACTAAAAAATTGTTTCACTAATTATTATTTCTCAAGAAAGAAACCATTAAATACTATTTGTATTAAACCATTCCATTTTTGTAAGAAATGTCAATGTGCAAAGCAGAATTTACTTATTTAGAATCACAATATCGGGAAAGGTGAGAATTCTCATGAAAAACACGTGAAATTTAATTTACGAATCAGTATAATTATTTATATATTATATAAATAACACTTGTGTAAGCAGTAAATCAGTTTAAATAGTTTAGCTTAAGTTTAATTTTTTTTAATTTTTTTAATTTTAAATTTTTTAATAATTAATTAATTAATTATGAATAATAATTTCGAATTTTTAAAACTTTTATTATTTACAAAGATATATCAATCAAGATTTTTACTCGCTGCATTCAAGTGTTGGAAAGTTATTTTAAGAATTTATACAAATACAACTGAATTATCTCGTATATGTTCAAATGCTGTAATTGAAACGGGAATTGTATCCAATGATTTAAATGATTTAAATGATTCAAATGATCGAAATGATGATTCTTCTAATTCTTCTTATGGAGATAAAAGTGAATTAAATGATCTAACGGATGATTCTTCTGATGGAGATAAAGTTCCATTATTAACAAGAAGAAAATCATCATCATCATCATCATCACGGGGAGATGATGTTGATGTTCCTATTTCTGTTGAGTCAATTTATCGTGTTGGTAGGAATAATTAATCATTTTAATATTGTTTAATAAAACTTTTTGCAAACTTCAAATCCTTCTAATACTCTAAATTCTTTAAATTCTTTAAATTCTTTATTATTATTATTTTTTTTTTTTTTTTTTAAAAAAAAAAAGACCGATCTATCCTTTATTCGACAAAATTAGTGGTAATTATATTATACTTTCATAATATCATCATCACCATAATATTATTATACTGTCTAATTCATAATTCTCAATACTTATGTAATACATAAATATATAAGATGGAACGTCGTTCATTAGAATCTAAAGATTGTGATCTTGATGAAGTCACACAAACAATTCTTTATAAGAAAAAATTTCCAGAAAATGGATCACCTAGGACGTATGTTGATTTATATTTTTTCGTTATATTATTATAATTATATTATTAGAGATAATTTATATAATTTTAATATTTATATATATATATATATTTATATTTATTTTTTAATAGACCAGCAGCATTTGTTTTGCATCATTGCCTTAATAAAATTAGTGAATCATATAATTTAGCAAATGAAATTAATGCTAGAGCAAAAACAAAATATGATACAAAAAACAAATTACATGAGAAAAAGTTATTAAAGGTAACGTAAATTCAAATATTTAGAAAAAATATACAGTAAAATGTATATATATATAATTAATATAATTGCAATTTTAAATAAAATAAATATAAAGTTATGGGAATTATTGATGCCTGATGAAGTTTTGCAAAATCGTTACGGTGAACAATGGACCAAAGTAATTATAATTTTATAATTTTATTTTAATTAAAAATATTAAAATAATAATATTTAAAAATAATATTTAAAATAATATTTAAAATAGATCGGTTTCCAAGGAAAAGATCCTTCAACAGATTTTCGTGGAATGGGTAAAAATGAGAAGATAATTTATATATCTATATTTATTTTTTTTTCTTGTCAGCTTCTAATTATTATTATTTTTTTAATTAATAATAGGAATGCTTGCTCTAGATGATTTGGTTTACTATGCTAAAAATCATCCTAAATCAGCACGTCATGCATTAAGTTGTTCTTATCATCCTATTTCATGGTTGTATTATTATTATTATTATTATTATTATTATTATTATTATTGTAATTATTGTAATTATCTCATTATATATTTAATATTTATTATTTCATTCTAACATTATATTATAATTTTTTTTAGGTATTCATTCGCTACCGTAGGGATTAATATTACATTCTTTGCTGTTCAGATTCTTAGAACTAGACAATTACAATATTTTTTATTTAAATATAAAATTAGTAAAGATGTTTATCATGAATTTTTCTGTAAGTATTATTATCTATTAATAGCCATTATTATTTATTAATTTTTTATTAATTATTACTAAATATTATTATTTAATATTAAATTTAATATTTATTTTACAAAGGTTATCTATTTCATTCATTTAATGAATATTGGACTTCAAGAGAACCAGCGATAAGTATTATGGATTTTGAAAGAGTTTTTGATCAATTCAAAAAAAATATTATTAGAGAATTATCAGAAAGAAAACTTATGGTATTAAATGAATCTAAAGAAATTTTTTCTCCTGTAAAGAAAGAAAATTAATTAAATTAATTTGGTTAGAATTATGATCATCTTCATCATTATTATATTATTACTATTCGTTATCAATTATTTTCATATTTTTTTATAGAAATTAATTATTTGTTTTAAAAATAATAAAATAGCTGATAGAAGAATATATAAATAAAATGAATATAAATAAAATAAATAAATAAATATTCGTTAAATAATTATTTAATTTAATTATACGAAACACTATCTGTTTCGTATGCGTATGCAAGACATCAATTAATGATGATGATCCATCATCGTAAATTACGAGTTGAGAATCTTGAAAATCTTTAAATGATGAGTTTTATTTTTTTAACTCGGTCGACCTTTCCTCTTTAAATGTTCTTTTAATGCTCAGTTAACGCTCTTTTGGCGCTCTTTTTATGGAAATAATTTAAAATAATTTATTAAAACAATATAAACGATATAGATTCATACGGAATCCTTATGTAAAAGGTTATACTCGTACGACTTATTATAAATAACAACAATCAGGTAATTTTACTAAATTTCTCACTCCTTGACTTGAAAGGTAATCATAATTAATGCATATGCATACAAGGAAAAATATTCTTACTAATATATAAATAAATGTATGTACTGTGAATAAATAAAAGTGACCAAATTAGAAATACGAAATTTAAGCTCGACAATTTTCAAAAATATATATAAAATAAAAATGTTGTGTTGTTGTCGTTAAGAATAGTATTTGTTTTTATGTTGTGTTAACGGGACTGGTTTGATGCAGTTTTTTTGTTGCAAAAAATTATTCTAACAAATAGGACAATTTCTAAATTATAATTTTAATTGATTAATTGATTTAAATTCTCTTCTAAAAAAACTTTTCAATTTCTATAATATTCAATATTCATATAATATTCAAATATTCATACAATAATATTCATTTTATATAATAATATTTATACAAATAAATATCTTCACTTTCTCTCTCATACTCTCTCTTTCTCTCACTTACCTTTCTCACTCACTCACTTCTCTATATAAAATAATGAATTCAACACGAGAAAATTTTGAAATACAACAGTGGCATGCATTAAATAATAGTGAAATAACAATTCCAAAGCAAGAAACTTCAGCACCATTGGATGAGGATGGTTGGTTATTTCGACCACCTGAAAATGGTCACGTTATTACCAGAGGTGCAATGGTTAGCCGGATCGTACAATATTATGAGGTAGTAATTCAAAAGTTGATAAAATATTTCATTATTAAATTCACACATATATAAATAAATAAAAGAAATAAATAAAAATATTTTATTTTATTTTTTTTTTTTTAAAAAAAAAAAAACTAATAAATAATAATAACAGATGTTTTTGGTAAACGTATTTTTACTGGGTTTTAACGTACTAAAAAATGCCAAAGCGGGAGTTTCCACTTCCACATATCGTAACGTTCTCTTTGATGCGTGTGGGGATCGTTTCATAATTCCACAATTTGATTTTTGTGCCGCGTCTCGATTATTTTGGGGTCTTATCGCTGGAGCTGTTGCATACTTTATATTCACCTCAATCGTGGCATTAGCATTATATATCGAATTACGTAGAAAAGGTTTTCATGCTTCATTTACGGCATTTTGGCATTCCCCCGTTTTCTTAGTATGTTTTTTTTATTCGTCGAAACGGAGAGTGGATATTTTAAGTATACCCAATAAATATGTAAAATTAGCATCATGGACACGTAGTCAAATACATCGAATTTCATTAGCAACTTATTGTTTAATATGTTCGGTCTTGATTTTTATCTCATTAACTCATGGGTATGTATTCATTATTACTAAGAGTAGTAATTAAAAAATATTTAAAAGTATTTAATGATATATATTTCTATAACGTTCATTTTTAATTTTTGATTGTTTTTAATAGAACTGCGGAAAAATCGAAAATCGACGGTGAAGGATTTGACAAAGGATTATCAAAATGTAAATAATAATAATAATAATAATTAATTTATTATCTTTTACTTTTACTTCGTTATTATTTCTCACAAATAAATAAATTTATATTTTTTCCAGATTACAATCCATATTTAATTCCCTACTATTTAGCTCTCTATATATTTTCCAAAACATTACTTGAAATGGTTCTCACCATAATTCAAGATAAAGATATAAGGAATAGACCAGAAAGAATTGGAAGATATTATGAGAATATCAAAAACAAATAATGGGGATAAGAAGTATTATTAATAATGCATTCATTTAAAAAAATTTTGAAATTGTTAATTAAAATATTTAATTTATTTAATTAAGATATTTTAATTTATTTTATTAATTACAATAAGAATAAAAAAGGATCCAAATTGTTAAATAGAAATAGACAAATTTTTGCATTCTTTATAATATAATATAATTTAATGATTCAAATATACACATTATATATATAATAATTCACTGTAAATGTCTTATTAGAAAACAAACAACAAAGTTATAATTAATAAATACTCGTCGGAAAAATTATGCAATTATTTCCTTTGAAACGGAAGAGAAACTTCTTAAATGCGGAAATGATGCATTTACAAAAGATGTGATATGATTTACCAAGCCAAATAATTGGATGACACCATTAAAAATTTTATTGGAAGATATAAAAATTGCGAAATATTATATATTTTATATATTGCACTTCTAATCTAACCTAACCCTAACCCTAAAACCTAACTTAATATAACTTAACATAAAATAACCTAAAACATTATATTCTCTGAGAAAAGGTTTAAGAGTCATTATATTTTCTCTTATTATTTATCAAACTAGATAATGGAGATAATTTCTTATTTTGAAGTATGTTAACGGTACGTAAAACATTCTCTCGTTAGTTTCGTGTTAAACTTTTTTTTTTTAATAAATTCATCATTAAAGCGTGAATGAAAGCGTAAAAGAATGAATATATAAAGAATGAATAAACGAAAGGATAAAAGCAAGAATACCGAAGAATTCAATAAAAAAAAATATCCATTTTTTGAGGCACGAAAATAATTATGGATATTCATGGTTATTTATTTATAGTTATCACGTAAAATTTTTTAATATTTATAATGCGGAAATTTTATTAATCAAGGAATTAACGTTTTAAATTTTTTTTACTTTCGGTATCGTGCGTGTAATAATATAACAGATAATACCTGATATAAAAAAACAATAATGTACTAAATCTACTAAATCTACTAAATCTATTATATATGATAAGAAAGAGAAATAAAGTAATTATAAAATTCGTTCACAATAACCACAAAAAAAAAATGAAATAATGCTATATAAACTTAATATTATATATATTCTCGTTATTCGAGAAAAGGAAAATTACCAGATATTATTATCAGATATTATTACCAGATATTATTACCAGATATTTTTACCAGATATTAACAAAATGTTAACAAGAAGAAGAAGTAGTCGCTTCCGGAACCAAATTCAACAAAATCTCAGTATTTATTTCTAAATACATGGGATATTTTGATTGATTCGTAACAATATATTTATAACCTGGACTATTTCGAACGTTATGAAAATGTTTTACCACAAATTTTAAAAATTTCTTCTTTAATTCAGGCCATTTCCAAGCATTTCCAAATAAACCTTCAGCAGCATTAAAAAAATTTATATCTTCAATTATTTTTGCTTTGGCTTTAAGTTCTAAATCGGTGATCAAATATTTGTTTGAAATTGTATATAAATCCCAAATATTTGTACATTCGCTAAGTTCCACTTGATCGGTATAAAGGTATAATAACATTTGAATCACTGTGTTATAATCGAAATCCTTGATTTCTATGTGAAAATTATAGTTTCTAGATTCTTTGTTATTATTATTATTACTGTCTTTGTTGATATTAATCTTTTTGTCTTTATTATTGTTATTATTGTTATTACTATGATTGCTGTTGCTGCTATTATTGCTATTAATGCTAGAAGATGATTTGTGTTGTTTATTACTACTAGAAATATTGTTATTACTACTAGAAATATTATTATTACTACTAGAAATATTATTATTACTACTAGAATTATTATTATTACTAGAATTATTACTTGATGAATTACTAAAATTACTACTTGAAGAACGATTACATTCAAACCACGTTCCTTGAAACATTCTTTGAAAATAATCAGAACGTTTAGCTAAAATGGTACTACTGGCATAAATTGTTTGCCCTTGAACCGTAATTTTAACATCACCCGATCCAGCTCTTTTAAATTCATTATTCCAAGCTACTTCTAAATTTCTAGGTACGGACCTAAGTTGAATTGATTTTTTAGGAATATTTAAAGATTTATCAAATTGATCAAGAAGTTTTGTTCTCCTTAATCTTACTCCCATTATTATACTATCTGTAAGAAATTCTCTTTTACAAAATTGCGCCATTCCTATATAAATTAATAATAAATCAATAATGAATGAATTAATAATATAATAAAATAATAATAAAATAATAATAATAAAATAATAATAAATAAATAATAATAATAATAATAAAATGATAATAAAATGATAATAAAATAATAATAAAAAATAATAATATTTACGTAATCTTCTAATCTTTACAGATTTAAACTGAAACCTTGAAGAAGTAATCATTTGTTTGATGAAAGTTCCATCCAACCTTTTTATATACAAAAGAGCAGGTAGACAGTCGTTCCTTAATGGATCATATTCTTCTATCTCATCTGTATTACATATCGCATGAAGATAAATTGCACAATATTCGGGATCATTTGGTGATTCCTATTAAATTAATTATAATGATTATAATTATTATAATCGAATTATATTTATTATAATTATTATAATTGAATTATAATTAATTATAATTAATATAATTTTAATATCAACCTACAAGAACAAATCCCAATTGCCAAGAAACATTTGGCATGGTTTCAAAATGAGGACTACAAATTTTTCCTTCGAGTTGACGAACATTTGATAACTGATATTCAAATGAACAAAATGTATATTCATTTTCCCTATTTTCTCTTGATGATGATGATGTTTGATTATTATTATTATTATTATCACCTGATTGATGATTATTATTATTATTACTATTATTCATCATATTATTGGTATTTAGGGCCCTTTTTTTTTTAAAAAAAAAATAATAATAATTAAAAACCATTATTAATTATCATATAACTTATACATGAAATATATTTCTATCCAATATATTAATATATATTTAGATCTAATATTTCAATAAATCATATCCTTATAATATAAACTATAATAAACTATATAAGCATATATATGACATATTTAAATAGAATATAATAAAACTTACCTGCTGTTGGTGCTGGATTGAAGCCTAAATTCTCTTATCCTCATGAATTTAAATAAAAAATGATTAAAAGAAAATTTGTTTTATTTTTTATTGAGAAAGAAAAATTAATATTAAAATAATGAAGGTGGTAGCAGGTAGTAGAAAAAATTAGAAAAAATTAGAAAAATTAGAATAAGTGAAAAAAAAAAACTAATACAAAAAAATATAAGATTTTTAATCATCAATAGGATTCATTACCTGTTCCCTTATAATAAATATTTATTAATTATTTTTTCTTTTAAAAAAAAAAAAAAGCTGATTTATTGATAAACTATATCCGGATTTATTTGTACTACTAAATATTTTATTCATTACAATCTTTTACAATCATGTGACCAAATATTCTCTTTCTGTAAAATATTTAAATATTTCAAAATATTTAAAAAAAATAAAATAAAATTTAAAGTTTATACCACACCAACCAAGATTATTAATTTATTAATTATTATAAATATATGCAACTGTACTGTGTAATTACATACAAAATTATCAATCGATCTTTTATGAGCTAAAATTAGATGTATATGTATATGTATATGTAAAATAAATAATTAACTAATTCTATTAATGAATTCTATTGAGAGCTAATTATGAATGAGTACTAATTATGAATTTTATTAATGAATGCTAATTATGAATGCTAATTATGAGTGATTCTTTGAAATATTTATTTATTGTGTTTTTTTATCCTATTAATATTGAATTATTATTATTGTTATAAATATTATATTATTATTGAATTATTGTTATATTTAATATAATTTTGGAAAAAAATGAAAAAAGAAAGAATGAAAAAGGGAAGAGAAAAAAAAGCTATAATACAGGAAAAATTAAAAGTACATTATCAACAAATAATTATCTATATAAATAATTAATAACGGTAATCAGGCTTTCTTTATATATCCGCTATTCTTATAATCAAATCCATGTTTTTAGTTAAAACCTTTAATTAATAAAAACAATAACAAATTAGTAATTTGATTCAAAAAAAAAAAAAAAACTAAAATGACGACAAATTAAATATATTTAAAATATTTACCTCTTTTAATTCTTTTTCTAATGAATCCACTTTCCTGTTTAATTCGGATTTTTCTTTGGATAATACATCATTTTCATATGCCGCAAGTGAGTAATTGGTTTTATGCTTTGATAATTCTTTCTTCCACATATCACATTCAACTTTAACTGCTTCGATTTGTTTTTCTAATTCTGTTATTTGAAATTTCATTATCGTACTATTATTATTTTCCATCCTTAATGAAACTTGTTTATTAAACGTTTCCGTCTCTTCTCTTTGTGACCTTTCCATAATCTTAATTTGTTCTCGAAGATTGGATATGGCTTCCTCATGTCGTCTCTTAAGTTTTTCCTTCTCTTCTCTTTGTGACCTTTCCATAATCTTAATTTGTTCTCGAAGATTGGAAATGGTCTTTTCAGCTTCACTAACTTTTCGTTCAAATGTTATTACTCGCTCTCGTGAATTTTCACAATCTCTTATGACCTTTTTATATTTTTCGTTCCATTCTTTAACTTCCAAATCTTTTTCCATCAACTCACATTCATAATTAGAAATAAGATCTTCTTCCTTTTGACGCCATGATTCTCTCTCTGAAGCGAATTCTGTCATAAATGTTTTCATCCCGTTTTGATGTTCTTCTAAACGTTTGGATAATGTATCTTTTTCTTTTTCGAAATTCGTAGAATTTTCAAGTTCTTTCGATTTATTATCTAATTCTATTTTAACATTTATAAGTTCACTTTGTAATTTATCTCTTTTAGATTCAACTATTACTGAATGACTTTTAAGATCATGATATTTCTTTTCCCAAACTTCTTTCATGACTGAAACTAATCCGGCCAGTTTATTACGTTCTTTCTCCATCTCTTCAATTTCGGATTCAAGTACTAGATTTCTTTCTATCAATTGTTCTAATTCTTGAACTTTCGAATCAAAATTTTCTGTTTCATCTAATGATCGTTGATTATTCTCAAGCAACTCAAGATATTTAGAATTCAAATCTCCATGAGCATATTCGGCCACTTGAAGTTTTTCGCTTAGTTCTTCAATTTCTTTTGATAATTCTTTTGATGTTTCTTTCGATTGAGAAAGTTCTGATTTCAAATTTGTGATCTCTAATTCATATTTCTTTTTTACTTGATCATTAAGTTCTTGTAATTCTTCAATTTCATTAGATGATTCTTTGGAATGAGAAACTTGTGATTTCAAATTTATGATATCTTCACACTGACTTTTTATTTTATAATTGAGTTCTTGTAATTCTTTTTGATGATTAGTTTCTAATCCTTCACGATCTGTGTCGTATTGTTCTTTGAGAATCCGTAATTCCTCTTGATGAGAATTAATAATTTGTTCTTTGTCTCTTAGTTCTTCAATTGCTTTTGATAATTCTTTTGACGATTCTTTTGATTGAGAAAGTTTTGATTTCAAATTTGTGATCTCTAATTCATATTTCTTTTTTATTTGATCATTAAGTTCTTGTAATTCTTTAATTTCATTAGATGATTCTTTGGAATGAGAAAGTTGTGATTTCAAATTTATGATCTCTCCATATTGACTTTTTATTTTATCATTGAGTTCTTGTAATTCTTTTTGGTGATTAGTTTCTAATCTTTCACGATCTGTATCGTATTGTTCTTTGAGATTCCGTAATTGATGAGCATTAATAATTTGTTCTTTGTCTCTTAGTTCTTCAATTGCTTTTGATAATTCTTTTGATGATTCTTTCGATTGAGAAAGTTCTGATTTCAAATTTGTGATCTCTAATTCATATTTCTTTTTTATTTGATCATTAAGTTCTTGTAATTCTTTAATTTCATTAGATGATTCTTTGGAATGAGAAAGTTGTGACTTTAAATTTATGATCTCCTCATAATGACTTTTTATTTTATCATTGAGTTCTTGTAATTCTTTTTGATGACTAGTTTCTAATCCTTTACGAAATGAAATCATCGATTGTTCACGATCTGTATCATATTGTTCTTTGAGATTTCGTAATTCCTCTTGATGAGCATTAATAATTTGTTCTTTGTCTCTTTTATCTTGTTCGGTTAGATTAATAAGTTCTTCATTATGTCGATCATTGAGTTCTTCTAATTCTTTTTGATGACTAGTTTCTAATCCTTCACGAAATGAAATCATCGATTGTTCACGATCTGCATCATATTGTTCTTTGAGATTTCGTAATTCCTCTTGATGAACATTAATAATTAGTTCTTTGTCTCTTTTATGTTGTTCGGTTAGATTAACAAGTTCTTCATTATGTCGTTGTTGTTCTTTATGTTGTTGTTCGATTGAGGCTATTATCGCTTCTTCAGCATTTCCTTGAGAATCATTGAAATGAGAGAAAGAATTTTTTAGATCTGAACTTCGATCAGTGGGAGTTGTTAATGCTGTACTAACTGTATCTATACTGGAACTTTGAGAATTTTCTGATAAACGTTTGGTTTTTGATGAACTATTATGTTTTTTGTATTGAAAAATATCATCGATATTACTTGAAGAAGAAGCATCAGAAGTTCTCATTGATTTATCTTTAGTACTGGAAAGTGAATCAGAACCATTATTATATTTAATGGTTTTTCCTGAATTATTATCAGATTCTTTATTAACCGTCGTCTTATTATTATTAGAGGTTCGAAATTGAATTCTTGAAGAAGAATCAGAAGTTTGAGATCGTGTTTCTGAAGTTCGAGATTGAATCTTTGAAGAAGAAGAAGGTTGTGGTATTGAAGAAGTTTGAGTTCGAGATTGAGTTTTTGAAGAAGAAGGTTGTGGTATTGAAGAAGGAGAAGTAGATTCCGTATTGGTATTATTATTATTATTATTATTGTTATTATTATTATTAATTTTGGTATTGACGGTTTTCTGAAATCTTTTTACCGGAGGTTTATCTTTATCTTGATTTCCATTATTTTGAAATCGAGCAATAGCCATAGCAACGCTAGTTGATGTGTTGATTTTAGTTCTTTGAGCAGCCATGATTTAATTTATTAATTATTATAAATATATGCAACTGTACTGTGTAATTACATACAAAATTATCAATCGATCTTTTATGA